GGTGAAAATTCTTATTTGGGTCATATTCCAAGACTTAGGCTAGAATCTGTGATTGCGAAGTACAGTAAATATCCACACCGGTGCGGTGACTGACTGCCACACATACTCTTCAGAGCATTAGATTCATCCATGCTGGAGCCGTGCCGCCGCACAACCCACGCAAACTAGATAATTCCGCACACAGCTGCAATTCCAGGTTTTCAAACAGAGATGGCGACAAAGAGGCAAAACTTACAGACTGCAGCTTTAAATCTTCAGTTTTAAACCCCGCCTTTAACCTTGTGTAAAAGTACATTTCACACTTGTAACTTAGAAATGGGGTACGCACTGCTTTTCATACTTTTGCTGTGTAAACCCTGCATTGCGGTGCCAAACTTGTACAGTGTGAAACGATGCGGTGTTAGAATGTTACGGTTAAGGCTGGAATACACTACATGACTTTTGCCCAGATTTTTGGCCCAATTTACAGTCTGGAGAAGTTGACACTAGTTGCTGGAAGTCAGAGACAATCTGCAGATCTGAGTTGACACTAGATTACATAGAAAAACGCGTAGTGTATGTTTGATACTTTACGATTTTAGAACACACTGTTTTCATTTGTAACGTGTCTCCAAGCTACAAGGCGCACATTTCTGCGTGCGCTTGTTGTGATCAGAACAACTGATAGTGTATGATTCTCAGTCGTTTAGCGTATTGACTGTTTAAAAAGTCAGTAAGCGTATGATCATGTCTAGTGTATTCAAATCTGTTCAGATTTTAAAGGGGTCATCAGATGCGAAATTTACTTTTACGACTATTGACTGACATGGCCGTTTTAGCACAGACCCGCCCTGAGTGAGCTGTGAACAGTCCGCCATTGTTTTGACATTGGAGCAGGTGTAGCCAAGAATGTCTCCTAAGTGATTGAGGTGTTTTGTTGTTGGATGTAATAATGAACATAGCAGTCATCATTTACTCCCGATATCTGAGCCGCTGAAGACGCAATGGATTACTTTTGTTTTTGACGGGAATGCGCCTCCCCGATGTACCTAAATGCGCCTATGTTCGTGCAAATCATTCGTGATCCAGCTTCACCTACAGAAGAAGTGAGTATAAGGTATTTTTTTTATTTTTTATAAATCTTTGCAAATCGCCTCTCCTAAATATTGTGCTAGTTAGCAAGTTCCGCGGCTAATGTTTACAGTTAGAGATGCACCGATCGATCGGCCAGGGATCGGAATCGGCCGATTTTCCTCATGATGGTCAGTCAGTCTCACTTCTTTCCGATTCCGAGCCAATCCGTTTTGTTACCAGCAGCACAGGCAATAACGTCAGCCGCGCATTCTCGCTCTCTTCTCTCCGACGACCCCTTCTCTCTCTCACACACGTCTCATTCCACAAAATTGTCAAAATGCCCGTCTTGGCGAGTATCCAGTTAAACACAGTCAGTTTTGGAACGTTAAATAGTTGAGAAAGAGAACGCATGTTGTGTAATATTGGCCTGTTTACACCTGGTCATTTCATGCGTTTTTTTCTGATCGGATAGCTATCGTGAAAAGACCAGGTGCAAATGCCCTCCGAAACGCATTCGAGACCAGAGCATGTGAGCGAAGCGGAGTGGTGTGACGCTCCGCTACGTTTTCCGCTCTATGGACGTGCGCTCCACTCAGTTCAAGTGTAAATGCAACTGGTTGTTGAAACCACATATGTAAATTTTACTCCTCCCAAAATGTTAAAATAATAAACGTGTGAGAGCGTGTTATAGGCTATATGACATTAGTCAGACTGCGCTAATGCAACACGCATCGCTGCGGTCGAGTAGCTGAGTATCTCATCAGCAAGCCGACACGCAAACTGCCGCGAATGAAACTGAAAGTAAGACGCAGACAGTCAACACACAATCATCTTCATTAAAAGTAGTAAGACAAACGTATCTTTTCAGTGCTGATGCCGCACGCTCTCCTATTGCGGTCTTTGATCTTGAAATTAGCTGATAATTAATAAAATGCAGCGCTTATCTTTTGATTTCGTTGACGTGAACTCCGTTAAATTTAAATATAGCGCAGGAATTGAAGATCGGATTTATATCCATTTTGCAACGACACATTTATGTGGCCAAGTGTACATGGAAACGTTTTAACAAATAAGATAGATATCCGATCAGCGAAAACGCATGAAATTACCAGGTGTAAACAGGCCCTATATTGGGTCCGTGGATAAACTCTTAAAGGGACCGCAGTCCAATATTCCTACTGCTGTCTGTCATGTTAATCAAAGAACAAAAGACAAAGAAAATCACTTTCTGCTCTTGACTGAATACGTTTTATAACTTTAATGGTAAGCATTAATCTGTATTTAATTTTTACAATGAAGACTACAGAAATTAAAGTAATCAAATGTAAAATAACGCTGAATGTGTTATTTTGCATTTGATTACTTTAAATTTCTGTAGTATTTCTTACCCGAATAAAAACTTACTTAACCAGAAAAACTTAGTTTCATAGCTCTCTTTATTCTATTGCATTTCTATTGCATTGCCATTTTTTTGTGTTCTTATTTTATTAGACTTTTTACTTGTTTTTTTATGAAAATAAAACTTTGCGTTGAAGAAAATTAGATTTTTATTTGTATATGCTGTCAATTATAGTTCTTAGGAAGAAAATCGGAATCGACAAAAATCGGTATCGAAAGATCACACTAACAAAAAATCGGAATCGGCCAAGAAAATTGCAATGGTGCATCTCTATTTACAGTCTTATGAGAACGGCTCGTCTCCCCACAGAAGAGAGGGGTGGGGTGTGCAGAGCTCATTAGCATTTAAAGGGACATACACTGAAACGGCTTGCTGTGAACAGAGCCGTTTTTGACAGGGTAAAAAGGGTGTTGTTTTACACTACCACTGAGAAATTTTTACCAAAGTATGTTATAGAGTTTTCATTAAGACCCTAAAAAATCATATCAACTTGCAGAAAATGGGCATCCAATGACCCCTTTAAAAGTCGTGTAGTGAATTTCAAAAACAGACACCCAATCCTGTATACCTCATATCCATGTGTTTTGGACATTCACAGAAAAACATTGTGCTGCATGAAGTCGTTATAGCGTTTGGATGGAAAAATGTCAAATGGTGACGAAAACAACATGAATCAGAGTGAATAAGATACTGCTTTATTCTATATAGTTTTTATATTCCAACGAAAACTCAATTCTGGAAAACTTGAAAATACTCTGCAATATATAACACGAGGATGAGCAATACTAGAGCCATTATGTTAGCACATCACATGCGGTGTCATTCTTCCAATAAGGACACTGACACCGCAAATATGAACGTTAACCAGGAGTTTAGGAATGTACAGTGTGAAATGTCAGTTTATGAATACCCAGGATTTATTGTTAACCCCAGGTAAATTATGAGCAGTGTGAAACATGATAATTCAGGATTCCATTTACCTGGGCTAGAATAACCCAGGATTAACTATTGCAAACTGAAAAACCCTTTCATCTAATTTTTAAAAACTTTTTTCTTCAAATCAAAGTTTGTAATTTTGTGATTCACCTCATAGCTGGTTGGTTTAGTTCACGGATTCTAACATTTTAACAAGGACTTTAATAAATCCCTATAGGAAAAACACTTCCAGAACCAAGGATGCTGAAAAAAGTGGATGGGCACTGTTGCGCACCTTATTTTTAACATAAGAGCGGGTGAGGCAATTTGTAATATGAATGTGCAAGACTTTAAATGTCATTCTCTTCCAATTATTTTACCTGTTACCAAAAAAAAAACACTTTTAGTCAGCTATGCTGCTTGATGTTGCACACTTATTAGTTATCATATTATTATTATTTATTTATTTTTTACCAGCAAAAATGAATCGGAAGTCTCGAACATTGAATGAAAATACCTTACCTTTCATGTTGCAAAATAAGGTAGATAGTAACATCTTCGTCATATCACTGCTCAGTTAAAATAAAAGTCTGTTATCTTTGTTGCATAGCAACGTTACTTTATAACAGTAACTTCTAGTCGAAGAATTTCCTTTATTTCACAAATAAATCAGTGTTTTAATGAAAATATCAGTCCTTTAAATAGGTATTATGTGGTGACCATTTTATACAACTTACTAGAGTCTCACTTACCTTTTACAAGCTTAAATATTTATTGTTACTTGTAATTAATTAGTAAAAGCGAGATCACAGTCCCTGTCTGTGGTAGTGAATTTTACCACAGCTGTGATTACATGTGGCACGAGGCACTACTGCTCGCGTGTTATTGCTTCACTAAAAAATGCATTTATGTGCTACATTCTGTTGTGGATCGTGTAAAAAGAGTTTATAGTAAATATAAGTGCTTCTACGTTACAAAATGCTACAACACAATCACGTGTATGTCTCAAATCACCGCAGCCTGCCCGTTGCTGTCTCGACAGGCTCTTACCTGACTAGTCCCACCTTTACCAAAATACATAAATTCAAATTAAAGCAAATCACCAAAAGAGCTGTCATACTTACAAAACGAGCTCCATGCTTAATACAAAGCGGTTAATAGCATTACATACCAGTGGACTCGCACAAATCTGACCCTGAGAAAAATCACGTAGCCCTCCTTAATATAAATTCACTTTAAAGACAATATCATCACGCCTCAAAGACATATGTAGCTGCACACGCGAGTAACAAAGTAAAGTGCGGGTCTTTTCCTATTCCAGAGCGCGTGGTTCTAAAAATATTCCCTGTCGCGTGAGTATAATCCATTGACGAATTATCGACGGCATGACAGCAGTCAATGACACGGCTCTTACTCACCGAGAAGAGAAATCAGTCCTCTGGAGAGGCTTTAACGTGCTTCGGGGATCAGTGTAAGAGCTCTCGCTTTAATGAGGCGAATTTCGGCGCGGAGATTCCTAAACGCTTCCTCCAGCTCTGGCGACCATGTTTGTCCTGACTGACTGACTGACCGACCAACTGACTGACTACTGCTACTGCTGTTGGTGTGGTGTGCATCCGGGCGCCTGAGGGATCAGGGGGCAGGGAGCTTTCCGTGTACGGAGGAAAAATGGGAAAGAACGAGTGGATACAGACAACCCCGTCGATGCCAACGTCCCGTCCCCCTTCAGCTCAAGTATCAACCAAATGGCAGCGGATTTACGCAAATGGGCTTGTTAGGTTTATTATGGGATGTTTTAGATATGGCTGTTATAGAAATGTATTCTGGTGGGTGCACGAGGTCACTGTTTTCCTGAGGAAACCTTTAAAGAGGCAATGTTGTTGGGGCCACATGACGAGACATCGATTCTTATCCATAATGAAGCTGGATTAGGATACGAATAAATTAGGTATCATTACTTTATTCGTAATATTGATATGTTTATGTCTCAGAAAGTGGGCAGGTAGTTGTCTGCATACGTACCGTTACGTAACAGCAATCGCGCGTTCACCACACATGCGCACCACACGAGACTAGTGATAGGAAACCCGACTCCTTTTTGCGTATCGGTTCTTTTAATGATTCGTTTTGTGGGGAAAATATTAAAACGATTCGGCGATTATTTTACTCGAACTGCCTTAATAAAACATATTTGAACCGTAGAGCGCGTAATACGCCAGGGACCGCATAATTGATATTACGTTCTATTCATTTTAATATTTTAAATGATTTATTTTCGTAAACGAGTCGTTCAGACCAGTCTTGTGATTCAAAAGATTCATTGAACAGAATCGACTGGATAGGATTTGTTTACGAATCGGACACAGCTACACGAGACACCTTGCAACAAGTCACTAGGAGTTCATCCTAGACATTGATATATAGCACCAGAATATTGACATTTAGAAATAAATATTTCGAGGAATAAATAGGGAAAGTTTCTCTGTACTATGAAGTACGTGCCAAAACTTATACATAATCAGACACGTTATTTCTTCAGTGCTGCTATAAGAGATCATTTTTGATACGATAATATGAACTATATGCCTATATATTGTAGATTTTTTTTGGCCATTTAAATATTTGATTGTTGTATTGAGATTTTCCGTCCATATGCATATGCAAGTGCGTTTAGGACCAAAAAAAATCTCAAACTTGGTGAACAGCGCCCTCTGTTGTTTCATACCCACATGCAAATATTGATTTAGGACGACGTCTTGAATGCATGGACCATTCTTCGTACGTCGCTTATTACATCCGAGATCAAAAGACACATCCGAGATGATATGATCCAGCTAATCATTATCTGGCTAAATAGGTTCTTCGAGCACACCTGTTGTTGATGATTAGTATGGCTGGATTGAGTTATCTGAGATCATTGCGCGTTCATGCGCTGGTTTAAAAGGGGATATGTATCGATAGTAGAAACACTGATCAGCAACGCTATTATTGGTTGCCCACAATGGCCAAAGAGCGCGCCCACTTTTTCTCGGCGGCAGAACAAGAACTCTTGATGGGGGGCTATGGCGAGTTCCAAAATTTAATAAAAACGCCAGGGAACACCTCAAAGGTGAAGGTTCAATAGTGAAGACAGTGTATCACTGTCATGCCATTTATTTTCATTGCACAGGACCGTGAAGAGACCCTCTCGGATGATTGTCCTTTGGAGGAAGTACCTGTAAGTGCATAATTACACATAAAAACACACTATATAATACACACTATAAATTTGTATCAACTAAAGTACTTTCTATTTTTGACAGCAATATGAGTTGCAGGAGTCTGCACAGAGGCCTGCAGAGAGGGAGTCTGCACAGAGAATTTATACAGCGGTGGAGTGTTTCATATCAGTTTGTCTTTTTTCTCATTTTATTTCTTTTTTTTTGTTTGTTTGTGACATGTGGAGTTCAATTAATTTTCTCTGTAAATGGCACAGGGTCACATCCGTTCCCTCTATAAACGTAGCCTGCAGAATAAAGTAGAATATTTGGAAATAATAAAAAATAAAAAAAACACTGAGGGGACCAATAGAGCTCCAACAGCTAAAGAAGAAGAAAATTGCACTAGAAATAGTTGCTGCAAAAGGAACTTCAGAGTAAGTCGTAAAACACCATTTGACACCGAGCACTACTGTTGACCTTGCATAACAATATCTGTCTTTGCAGGCAAAAGATTACTTTTTTTTTTTCCTTCTTCAGAACAACTAATAAAAGTAATGGAAACCATGTTTGCCTTTTTTTTTTTTATTCTCAAAAATTGTGTTCCACAATGCTGTCCCGTGCAGCTCTGCCACTAGGTTGGTCCAAGTGCACTGGCTGGAGGTCATCATCAGGCTGCACCTCCACCACAGGGGTCCTCTCCTTTCTAATGGTGGCAATGTTGTGTAATACAGCACATGCGACAATGTTGCATGCCCTGTCAGGTGCAACCCTCAGACACTGAAATCTTCCCTTTAGTTGCCCAAAGGTCATTTCAATACGTGCCCTTGTCCTGGCTAGAGCTGCATTGTAACGGGTTTGTGGTCCAGGGTTGGGGTCAGGGAATGGGGTCATAAGATACTGCCTACAGGCATAGCCCCTGTCTCCGACCAGGATCCTGTCGTAATCACCTGTACAATGGTAAAATGCAGTTCTGTTAGGCCCAGAATAAGTTTGTGTGTAATAATACAGTGAGCTTGACATTAATATTTTTCCTTACCACGTTCAAATAATGTGCATAAACGTGACTCTCTGAAAATTCTTGAGTCATGCGCGGATCCTGGCCATTTGGCTTCCACATTTGTGACATGGCACATAAGAGTCACACACCATCTAAGACATTGTAGTCAATCAACTGCATAC